ATATACCAGATTGAATGGAGGCCAGTGATCTTATTATGTTAAACCATATCAGTCATTTTGAGTGGAACTCAGTAATCAGTAACATTTTAAATGGATCTTTTAATGATTGTGGAAACAGCAAGCAGAACCTGTTTTGTTACATATTCGGAACTTGACTATATTTGAAAGTGATTATCACAAAATTGTAGCCCATCATGATGGTAGGCAATTTCATAATTGTCTAGACCAGCGGTTCCCAACCTTTTTCCACTCAGGTCCCATCTAAAAAATGTTCGCAGCCCACATTCAACCATAAACAATATGGAGGCTAAATAAAGTACTTTTTATTTTAATTAGAAAAGGAGCTGGCCATCAGTAAAAAAACAGACATTTTTATTACACGGTTTAGTTGAATACTCTATTCTGATTGCTCAATTCAGAACATGTGACACGTTGTTAATCCAGTAGTTCAGACCGCTGTCAAGGACTAATGACCGTTGCTAAGGAGGATCAAGAAAGAAAAGGAAAAGAGGTTCAAATTGTAATAATCAAATGTTTCCACACAAATCATAATGTTTTGCAAATGATTTGGTGGCCCACTTGCAATGCGGGGCCGCGGCCCACAGGTTGGGAACCGCTGGTTTAGACTTTTTCATCTGTGTAATTTCCTAGTGGTTGGCATTACAACACAAATTGTATATGGCTGATTAAAAAAGTCTGTATATTTAACAGGATGTTGTCAGTAAAACCTTCACCACGCTTCCGTGTTGTGATGACTATACAGGAATGTTGATGGTCTTGCAGCACACTTAGGTCAAACACAACGCGCACAACATCCAGACGAGACAGGACATTCACCTCAAACTGTTTGTTTTGGCCGCCTGCTGGGCTGGGCCATGTTCCCGGGACATTCGAAAAAGGTCATTGACACGTACCAAAAATCAAATAACCTCACATACCGTGATACAGAAACGAAACACTGTGGGTATAGTGCATGCATGGTTTTATACCCAAAAGTTCTGAAAGGATCCACAGCAAATAGAAGCATACAAACCTACCTTAAATCCATCACATCACATTCTTTTTTAAAGAACACAATGGTCTGTTATTTTATCATTGCAGTGCAGTAAACAGCTGATCACAGTCTTTGTGCAAGATATTGACTTAGAGAGTAAAAAGAACAGAGAGTGTAGGCATTTCCTGAAATATTGTGTGTAACAATTATTATTACACTCTTTTTCTTCACAGCTTTAAAGATAAGAAGGTTGAAAGATGTACATTGAAATTAATTGATAATAGCATTGTCAGTAGTTTGGTGTTACATGATTAAAAACTGACAATTGTAAACAACAAAACCTATTTCATGTTAATCTAATTGGCACTTTTTTCGGGATGATTAAACATTACATTATACTTTAAACTACAAAAGCACCTTCTGGTTTGATTTCCATGAAAACAAAATGGTTTACATTTCAATCACATTTGGACTCTCTGTTTCTACAGAATGTATGACAAAAACCCAGCTCCTGTGGACATGTCTAAGCTGTTGAGCTTTGGTTACGCAGAAGACAAGAAACCAGCCGCCAACACTGATTTGTCAGGTGAGTCGCACAGGGTCTCTGACAGATTGAGTTACTCTCGTCCTGGTCACCATACCTCATTTACTTAATTGTTTTATTTACATCATGCCATCAACATTCCTCTTATCATAATCAAATGAAATGAAGCCAACAATGTGAACTTTAAGATTGAAGTGGTTAGGAATTAATGATGCGTCCTGACAGTGTAATGCAGAGATTATAAGTAAATGATGTGATGATGATTATGACTGAATGACTCTCATATCCATGTCAACAGATTAAAAGACTGCCAGTGCCGTGGAAGGAAGGATATAACATTGAATGCTTCTAACAAGAACAGTTGCCATTCCCTGCTCCTTTTCTTAATTTCTTTACCGCTTCATACTGAGCCACATCAAATGTTTTACTATCATGCAATTGTTCTGTGATGTTAGAGGTTTAACTCAAGTGTGAAAGTGCTTCGTTGAATCAAAGCTAAGACTTTGAAATGTTTTGTGCCTGTTAGTGGTGCCTAAATTAACAGCATTCCTTGAGTTAAAATGGCACTAGTAACTCGTGTTTGTTTTTTGCTGTGTTTAAACATTATGTAAAAGGCAGCTTTAAGAAATTAAAGTTTGATAATATAAATTAAAGTTTTTCAAAAATATTCAACTGTCTTTTTGTTTTTGCCTTTTATACGCCATTCGATTCGCTCTGCTGCGTTGACACTTTAATGAATGCAACACAATTAAAACACAACAGCAAATAATGTCTAATTTTTTGTAATATTACTATTAAAGTAAATTATACGATGCATACTATTACATTTTTGCAGGGTAAAGGTAAAGTTAGCTCTGTGTGTTTGTCATTGTTTTGACACTGCAATGTGTTGCATTGCAGTGTCAAAGTTCAGTGTCAGAACTCAGTGCTCTTACGGAAAGCTTTATGTCATAATAACACGTTAGTTATTGACTAGCTTCCGATGGGTTTCAAAAATATAAGTTTTGGATCTTGGCCAATCCTTTTTCCCGTGAATGATCTTGCCGTTTGTTTGAGACTGGTGGATGTTTTTGTGATAACGAGGACGAACAGGTGCTACTCCTCCCTCTGGAACCAATCAGTGGCCGGGCCGGAGGTCGCCGCTATATAAGCTCTGCAGTCAGACATAACTGGTATTAAAAACGGCTAAGGTCTTACAGGAGAACAACTTTCGGAACACATTTCAAACTGGATTTCAAAGCCTCACCTGCTGTCATGGCACCAATTCTACTTAACTGTATGGGCAATGACCACAATGACTATATCAAGTGAGTATTTGAGAATCTCAACTAACTTTGGAAAAAGCATGTTTTTCTTCTTTAAAATCAAGTGTTTGGTAATCAATTCGGAGTATGCCAAGGATTTAGATTTGTAATATAGTGCACTTTATATCTTGTAGACAACTAGTCCAAGTGAAAAATCCCAACTTGGACACCATGGAGGAGGATATCCTCTACCACTTCAGCTTGGGCACCAAGACTCACAACCTTCCAGAAATGTTTGGAGATATCAAGGTTTGTGGAATGGATACAACAACAAAAAATGATTGACGGTTTCAAATATTAGAAAAGAGAAACCAACAGTCCTCTTACTCTATTTCCCGTAGTTCGCGTGTGTTGGAGGCAGCGCAAATCGAATGAAGGCTTTCGCTCAGTTCATCCACAAGGAGCTGGAACTGCCTGGAAACCCAGAGGAAATCATAGACATCTGTGAGGGAACTGATCGCTACTGCATGTACAAAGTGGGACCTGTGCTCTCTATAAGTGTAAGTATCACACAGCAAGACTGTCTTAGTTGTCTTCATTCCTACTGGCTTCAAATATGGCACGGCTGATTTAACATGTTCACGTTTTGATAATCGTTTCTATGCTGTTTCCCTCACAGCACGGCATGGGTGTCCCTTCCATCTCCATCATGCTGCATGAGCTCATCAAACTGCTGCACCACGCTCAGTGCCGGGATGTGGTTCTGTTACGTCTTGGAACATCTGGTGGAGTCGGTAAGAGCATTGTTTTTAAATGTAAAACTCTTGGCAAACTTTTTCTATTGGGGATTTTCATTGAATGTTTCCTTGATTTTGTATTTCTGCTCGGCGTGGTCTTTAGGTCTGGCTCCAGGCACAGTGGTTGTCACGGATAAAGCCGTGGACTACTCCTTCCGCGCCCAGTTTGAGCAGGTGGTTCTGGGTAAAGTCATCACCAGGAGCACTGAGCTGGACGAGGGGGTAGCCAATGAGCTTCTGCAGTGCTCCTCCGAGCTTCAAAACTTTCCTACAGTGATCGGAAACACCATGTGCACACATGACTTCTATGAAGGTATGAACCCCATCTAATGCTTAGGTTGTTTGTGATCAAATCAATCATGAAGAACTTTAACAGATCAACACCATTGGGCAGGTAGTGACAGATGCTGTGTTTCTGTAGGTCAAGGACGACTTGACGGAGCCCTCTGCTCCTTCTCTCATGAAGACAAACTGGAGTATCTGAGGAAAGCTTACGATGCCGGAGTGAGGAATATTGAAATGGAGTCCACTGTCTTTGCTGCAATGTGCCGTGTCTGTGGCCTGAAAGGTAATTTTGAAGGCAAAACATCATCGTCATTCTGCAAAGTTAACGAGTGTTTTGAAGATACAACGTTGACATTAGTGTGTACTTCATGACTGATGATCTCTCTTTTCGCCTCCAGCCGCAGTGGTCTGTGTCGCCTTGCTGAACCGATTTGACGGAGACCAGATCACCTCCACTCACGACGTCCTGGTGGAGTACCAGCAGAGACCCCAGGTCCTGGTGTCCCACTTCATCAAGAAACGCCTGGGACTGATTGTCTGAAACCCTAACCCAACACCTGCCTCCCAAATAGAGTGTATATAGCTGATATGTGGATATGTATATATTGAACTTGTTCATATGTGTATTAGACACTTATTTAAAGATTAAGCTTAAATATGAAGTATTTTGCTTGTGTATAGTATCTATTGTGTCTTTTAATATATGATGCTCTGGTATTTATGTATGGTTACATTAATTTTGTAAAGAATGTGTTCTGTATGTTTATTTTAAATACTTAACTTTAATGGTAAGTTGAGAAATAGTTAGCCTCCATTAGAAGTTTGGGATGTATGCGTCCTTAGTGCTTTCTCTTATTATACAATAAGATTATTTTAACCTTACTTCAATGTATTTCAGTGATGAATGTGCTATCAGATGACCAGAGAAATGGATCATATATAATTACATCTGCCACAGAAGCATGTTTTTGCAAATGCAAACATCCTGAAAGTAGCATAAGCGGTCAATAGATATTGATAAATGTGCAGAGGTCATTTTTATTTGTTGAAGTTACATGTTTATCATCAATCGGTGATACTGTATGATATTGTATTTCCCATGAGATGCTCTAGAGTTCAATAAAAAAAAGTCAATAACAATAATTGCACCGTGTCACCTGATTCACTCACAGCAGCTGCTCTACCAAAGGGTGTGATTTGTCCAACTGTAAATACACATACAGCTTATTTAAATATATTACTCACATTTAATGTCACGCTCAATACCAGAACAAGGGTTGGACTTCACAATGTGATCCCAAACAAAGTCAGAATTTGAGATCTGATTGTGTATCTCGTCTCGGGGGTTTGGGGGGTGTGAGAACAGACAGCACGTCTTTGGCGTACTGGCTGTGTTGCAGACCGGCCTCCCTCAGAGCCTGCTCAACACGCACTCTGGGATCAGACACAATCTGGAAAACAGATGTTAAAAAACAAACAAATCCACAGTAAATGATGTATATCCAGCTGTTTCCCACTCAAACACCTTTGTTTTATGATTTTCTATGCAACTTCAAACAAGATAAAAAACGAATCCCTCACTGATTGGGAGTTAGAGAAGAGTTGCATAATGTCTAGTCATTGCATGTGTTACACAATAAGCAAATTCCAACGGTGAAGCAAAACAACACACACACATATACACTGATTGCCCGGGTGGCCTTGAGATAAAGGCTGTGTATACACATTCTGAGATGAAGACAAACATTGATTGACCAACTAACCAGCTTACATAATCGTTCAGCATTTCATGGGTCATGGGACAGTCCAACCCAAGATTAAACCAAACCTGTAAACGGCTGATAATGGTCATGGAAACTGGGGAAAAGGCCATGTAGGCTTATAATATGTAAAGCATAGGATATCAATTAGGTAATTTAATATATAATAGCGAGCTTGGGGATAACGACCATGCAGCTGTAGAGTTTTTGTGAAAAAACTAAAGCTAAAAGGTGATAATAGATGTTATCATGCCTCACCTGTGTGTCTGTGTACGTGTGTATAATATAGAGAGGTCTTTGGAGTTCAAACTCCTTTACATTCAGCTGTCGACTCCTCCAAGCCTCTGTATCTGCCATCATCCTCTCCGGGTCTGCCTCTGCCACCACCCCAACCTAAAATACATTTAAAAAATATTCAATATATTGAAAACATACCGTTTTTCTTACTGCCATAATGTTTCATTGTTACCACTCAGACTGGGAAGAGTCTAAGTCAGGGGTGTCCAAACGTTTTTCACCGAGGGCCACATACATACAAATATACAAAGGGCTGGGCCACTCACTAGAGGTGAGGTATATTGCCTCATAAGTTAAGTTATAAGTCAGCAAAATAAATCAAATGTAGGTAAATTATGCTTGTTACTTGAATATACTTTAAGAAAACAAACAGCCTACATCTCAGCTCTCCAGAGGGTTTCATTTATTTTGTTGGAAGCTCATTCCTTAAAACAGGAGCCTCAGATTGCTTATCATAAGAGGAAATAGGAAGGGTTTATTTCAAGCTTGTTACGTAAATAAGTTATTGGGCTTTTTTCTTATCAACTTAGATTTGTTAGAAATTGTTTTCAACTTTAATTGACTGAATGTATTTGAAACATTTGGCTTCTTAACTCATGAATACTACTGTGTAATATATGTTTCCATATATATTTGAGAAGTACAATATAAGACAAACACAAGTTTCATTTGTGGGCCACATTTCATTATACTTTTTTAATTTGCTGAGGGCCGATTCACGGGCGGCATTTGGCCCCCGGGCTGTAGTTTGGACACCCCTGGTCTAAGTCTTCCCTTGTACGGTTTTTCAACGGACAGAGAAAATCAATGTGGTTAAAAAGGGCTAAGTGTAGAAATGAATCCACCTGGTTTCTGAGAACTTCCAAACGTTTCTGCTTTTCTTCTTCTTCTCTCTGCCGCTCCAGCTCCCGCGCCTCCGTCTCCTCCTTGCGCCGCTGCAGCATCTCGGCCCGATACTGCACCCTAGAAGGAGCCCAGAGGATGTAGGCATCAGAGCTGAACAGCTGCTCTCTTTCCTCTGCCACCATCAACATTAGTATTTATCGCTCCTGACACAGCAGGCCTCCGGGCTGTGGAAGGTTTTATGGAGCCTCCAGAGATCAGCTCCTCTCCCATCATGTGTTTTGATATCTTCCTCAGCCCCTCCATGATTCCTGCGCGCTCTCACGGACAATGTCAACACCATTATCTAGTATTAAAGTCAGTCTGTGAGTGTCTGCAGAGAAATGCTAAGCGAATCACACACAAGAGGATGTTTTCAACACAGAATCTTATATTTTTCAAGAGTAGCCTCAGACCAGGCTGAAATGCAGTGTTTCACTCTGGCTGCCGGGAATATAAACCATTGAACAGCACGAACAGAGTGTCAGCTATTGTTGCTTTTTGAAGTAAATATGGAGTCCTCAATACAACTCTTTGACCTCAACCTTCCCCATTTAATGAAACCGCTTAAGAGCACAACTATGTCGGCCTTCAGGTTAGGTTAGAAATGGGATTAAACAATAATAAATACATGAATGAATATTACATTTCTGCAAAAATGTCTCCCTAAATGCTTCAACTCCATGGTCATTTCTTCAGACTTGACAGGCTCCCGCGGAGACACAGATGTCATTAAACAACTGCTTCCACATGAGTAGTGATCCTTATGACCAGTTAATTCATTTGATTTTGTATTTCATGTCAATAACTGTAAGATAGCTGTTACTACAGAAGAGCTAGGTAAGCTAGATATTGCTAATAATAAAAACATACATATATCTTAGAGTGTAGGGGGTTGTAAGCCAATAATCCAAAAAGTGTGTCCCATGCGATATTTGTAATGGGTAAGAATGTATTCCATGCATTTTCTGTTTTTGCAAATCTTTGAGAACTCAAGGTCCCAGTCTGCAACAATCACCTGTCTTTATCTCGCCTGGCCTGCTCCTCCATGAGGCTCCTGAGATTAGCGAGTCTCTCTTGATCCCTCTGCGCCAGCGTCTCCCTCCTCTTCTGCTGCTGTAAATAAAACTGCCTGACCTGCGGGGAAAACAACGAGTTTACAGAGAATAACGACAAAAAGTTAACAACAGCCGCAGGAACAGTAGCCCCACTCACACTAATTCGACTCGCTCCAAAACTCTAAGGTTTGTCATGTCCTATTGATTGTGACAGAGCAGGAATCAGATAAGTGTAAACAGAAAGAATGAGATGATATTTCAATGTCTGGCAGACTGTCGTGCTAAATCATATGGATTCCAATGCAGCCTAAATGCTCTCATTAATCAGAATGTCTCAGGTTGCCCATGCTCTCCAAGCAGGCCCTTGAGGAGAGGGTTAATTAAACAGTCAGAGACACACAAACAAACACACACACACACACATTGTGGAATTGTTTTACCTGGGAGGACAATAACTAAATTAAACTAAGAGCAGAGCAGATCTTCGCCTACGCAGTTCAAATAAAGAAAAGAAAAACTTGTATCAGCGGATCCGTTCCTTTTCCTATGTAATGTTTTATGAAATATGGCCGGTTGTGTTCCAATAATCTTGCTGACAAACAAACAAACTACTAACCAATAAACTCAACTAAAAACTTAGCGGAGATAATGATTATAGTACCCAGGTAATTGCAGCACATTTTGTATGTATCTAACGTAACGTTTTTTGGTCTGCATTCAGCTCTATCTTTTGCTGTGAAAAGTCATTCATACACACACAAAGGTTTTAGCATCAGCTGAATTGCTACATATCATTTGGTGCTTTTGAAAACCATTTATAATCATTGCTCTTCTTGTGCACAGGGCTTGGGATCCACGAGGATAGCTGCATGATTAATAAGCATATGAATTTATATTTATCTAGTTTTTCCTCGCAATAAATGTGTATGCATAAGGTTGTTATGCACACAGCATATGGAGGTTTTAAGCCCAGGATCAGAAATACCATCTGTTATCTTGAAATAATATTTATTTCTCTATGCGTATTTATGGAATTAATTTATACACAAATGTTTTAATTCCTTTTGATTTGATCATAATGGATGTTTTTTACAGATGTGTAATAAAAAATTCCACATTTTGTCCACAATTGTTCACAATAATATGCAGACATTTTGATATTAGGCAGGTGCAGCAAAAAGTAAAAACCTGATATATATAATTGAGATGACAAGGTGTTACTTTTTCTTTGTGGTGTGATCTGACGGCAGCCTCCTTCTCCTGCTCCCTCCTCAGCCTCGCCTCTTCCTCCTCTTGTTGTCTAGCAGCTATAGCAGCCTCCAGCTTGGCCGCCTCCTCCTGCTGGGCCCGCCACTGCTGCAGCTACACACACACACACACACACACATGCAAATACACACCAGGGGGAAACAAGAAGCACGTTACTGTCTGCTAACAGCTGTCTTTAAAGCATCACTCACATGGAGACAACCAGCTGAGCCCCTCTGCCATCCTGTCAACATGTGGCATCAATTTTGGAAGAGGTGTCAGAACTTCCTTTCACACTTGGTTTTACATCACCTCAGGAGCCATCAATGCATGTTGAAAGAAACGTCTGTTGTTTGAGCCCTATAGCAAACTCCTAAGGAACGAGCTGTTGAAATGAAGCAATTAAGGACAGAAAGTGAAGAGAACTGTCATCTAGATGTTTATCCAACTTTTAAAACTGGAAAGATACTGTGCAGTAACTTTGAGGTTTACTGTATTACACAACAATGTAATATTGTCAAAGAGCCTTTAAAGCACATTTCTGACCACGGATTTGTATGATTATTCAATTAAGTTTGATGAAACTAAAAGCTTGCCAATATATAGTAACTGACGCATTGAGTGACACATAACTTTCTTCCAAGAGCGTGTTGTTGAATCTTGAAACATATAGCCCCACACACACACACACACACACACACACACACACACACACACACACACACACACACACACACACACACACACACACACACACACACACACACACACACACACACACACACACACCACACACACACACACACACACACACACACACACACACACACACCACACACACACACACACACACACACACACACACACACACACACACACCACACACACACACACACACACACACACACACACACACACACACACACACACACACACACACACACACACACACACACACACACATCACTTCAGTGGACATTACATTGACTTACATGCATTTCCTGGAGTCTTATCTTAACCTTAACCATAACCAACACATGCCTAACCCTAACCCTAATCCTAAACCTAACCAAGTCTTCACCCTAAAATTAATGATTCCCCTCATGGGGACCTCCATTTTGTCCCCATAAGGGAGGCGAGTCCCCACACGTGACTGTGTAAACAGATGTAGGTCCCCACAAGTATAGTAATGCTAGGCCACACACACACACACACACACAGTCAAACATTAGTGGGTAGTGAGTGACAGGTTGATATTGCAGCAGCCTCTGTTTGGCGTGCCGGGGATTAGGAGTGTTGAATTCTCACCAGGCAGACAGATTCACAGATCTATCAGCTGAGAGCTTATGAATCCCTGTAGGAATGAACTGCAAATTAACATGGTCACACACATTAGCACCGGCGGTATCATCAAGTCAATCATACTTGATGTCCGCCTGAGAAAAAGCAGCAGCTGTGTGTTAGAGAGAGGACTTTAAACAACCCGGCCTGTAATCCACTTCCCTCTGACAGTGTTGAAGCTGGAGATGTAATATGCTTCTTCTTTAGTCTGAGTCCAATATGGACTCTTCGTGACTAGGAGTGCATTCCTGAGAAGCGAATAAGTAACACATTCCATAACTTTTCTGCACTGACCTTTTGTCCTGCGGCTTTTTTCCTTAGAACTGGGTTTTAATATATAAAGTTCACCAGTTAGTGTTGGCATATTATTACATTACATGTTACTTGTTAGACACTTTTATCCAAAGCCACTTACATACTCAATACTGTGGGCAATCCCCACAGGAGCAACTTGGGGTGAAGTGCCTTGCCCCGGGACACAACGACATGCTGACTGCAGTGGGGTTTGAACCTGTGACACCCCGATCAAAACACCAACGCACAACCCACTGCACCACACGCCTCCCACCATATGGCATAGATCTACATATAGATCTAGTAATTTTGAAAGGTCACAGTTGCCAAATTACTAATGTTGCCCCATGCACAATCCTCAATAGCAAATTTCAATATAAAAAAGGTAACTACAATTATTTACTGCGAATTATTGACATATTTACGGAAAAACGACCGACAATACACCATGAAAATGTGAGACATGAGCAATGTTAATGTGTTTCTTGAGTGTAACACAAAGCTCCGATATGTTTTTTCATACAGCATTGGCTTGGCTTCCTCTCCTTCTGAAAATCTAATTACTTGCTTTGGTTTATTTTGTTCTTTTAAAAAAAAAAGTGAAAAACAAGTGCACATAATTAAACCATCTATCAAACTCCAGCCTGGCCCAGATAAGACACCTGTGTGCTTGATGCTTGGAACCTTGAGAGACGGGGTGTGAAAACAACCTGGTGGTGGGTCTGGAAAGCATGTTTTTTCAGACAAACACACTAAGATGCCACAGATAACACTATCTTTACCTTTGTTTTGCAAAGCCTCATAAAGCAAAAGTATAAAGTTCAATTGCAAAGGCCACTGACACAATGAAAGGTATCTTTAAAGTTTCCGCTGTAAACACTGTGAGGGCCACAGTGGCTAAATGGATGTCATTTTAGTTTAGGCAGGGATGAAAAGGCATTTTAGGACGCACAAAGAGAATAAAATCATCATTATGAACAGTCTGCTGGAATCTAATTTTCTGCGGATTCAAAGGGAAATGGGATACCATCCTTTTTCATGGCAGCACAAAAACGACTGCAGAGATGACAGAATAACAAAAGAGTGATCGCCTTTTTATCTGCACACTGCAGCCTGCTCAACGCCTTTGTTAATATAACTGTACATGTCTTCTGTCAGGGGGCGTTGCAGCTGCCATCATTGTAACTTTCCATTGCTGCTCATTTAATGACAAACATCAGGCGAGTGACACACATGAACTCATGCTAATCTTGAAACAATATTATTGCTGTGAGTCAGAGCAGCAAACTGGAGAAAATGAAGGATGTATTCGAACAGCAAGACTCCAACAGTGACAATTATGACACATGAGAGAAATTGAATGTGGCAAGAAAATAGTTTAAATTAAGAGATGACAAACTATGCATCTACCTTTATATTTGCATAACTGCCACCATATGAAATGGGGTTGGTGGAAGGAAAATGATACACATCGGAACAATTAACTGCTCAGAGCTGTCCGCTGAAACACTCGCCCACGCACTGTCTCAAATACTGAGAATCTATTGTGTCCACTCGACCACCAGATGATGAGCGGTAACTTGTTAGTCACGAACACTCAGTGACAGGAAATCTGCTAACACAGTGCAGAGAGAATACACTGATTACTGCAGGGAGGGGATCACCAGTCGTGACTGTTGCTGTGGTCCTGAGTCGTGGATCCTGAGTCGTGGACCCTGAGTCGTGGACCCTGAGTCGTGGACCCTGAGTCGTGGACCCTGAGTCGTGGATCCTGAGTCGTGGACCCTGAGTCGTGGATCCTGAGTCGTGGACCCTGAGTCGTGGACCCTGAGTCGTGGACCCTGAGTCGTGGACCCTGAGTCGGGAGAGGGATTCCTCCTCTGTTGCTCTGTCCAAGGTTTCTTAATTTTTTTCAAATTAATTTTGCGGTTTCTTTAAAAGTTTTACCTCAAATTTGAGGGTCCAAGGACAGAGGGTGCCGTATTCATATTCTGTACAAACTGTAAAGTCCACTGAGACAAATGTAACATTTGTGTTATTGGGCTATATAAATAAACCTTGATTGATTGATTGATTGAGGGCACACGTTTGGAATCCCCTACTACAAAAGATTGATTTGGTGCAGTCAGCTGGCTGAGAGGACTACTCAATATTCTTGAATGGACTTTTCAAAGTAGGAAAAAACATGAAAATAAATAATGCCTTTGACAAACTGGAATAAAGAGGACTGTTGTTTCTTTAAAAAAAATCACAATCACATTTCTCAAGGTGGCTCTTATGGAATTGGATCAAGCAAAACCAGCTGAATATACTATGTACTGAAAAGTCACATTTTAAATATTCATTAATACCAGAAAAAGCCTGGGTTTCAAAACATGTAAAGCAAACTGCACTGTTGTGGGTCCATAATGATCAAGGGTCACTTTTTTTGGACTGAAAAGCAAATTCAAAGTGGCCACAACAGTTCCCTCCACAATGTGACAGGACATCGAATGAACTGTGTTTTTAATCATTTCATTATTAATATTCTAGGGCTAAAACTATTCAAAATGTAAAATAAATGTTTTATCTGCGTTATACAGTTTTTAACTATGTTGAAACATTTATTGATCAATCCGGTCATTCCGAACTTTGAGACGACAGTGTGCATTAATGAGACTGTAACAGTGCTTTCATATAGCAAAATGCAATTGAGAGCAAGGCAGGAAATGAGAAATGAGATATTGGCATAACAGAAAACCTCCCATCTTGTGAAAATCGTTCTGCTTTCGATTGTTGTGTCACTGCTCCTGCTGGGCGACTCATCCCTCTCCCACCTGAGCATGTTGCAACAATCTGCCATCCCGCCAGGCTTTATTTACTAATGTGGACAACACAATCACTCATCAAAGATACCTGGGAGTAAGATGTAAGTGGGAGGCAGAATGAAAGCAAGGACAAAATAAAAGGCTTGAATGAACAGTAACCAGAGAACAATGCCAGCTAATTACAGCAGCCAGAAGAGTGCAGAACAAACACGTGATGATTTGAGAAGAAGGGTCTGCCTGTCAGTGATAAATTGGACTGAAAATCTCTCGCATGAATTGTTTCTATATTAATCATTCATGTAATTTGACTTTTTACCAGTTGTGGAAGAAGTACTCAGATATTTTACTCAAGAAAATGCAGGAATACCGCATTTTAGAAAAACTCTTTTACAACTAAAAGTCCTGCATTCAAAATTGTACTTAAGTAAAAGCACAAAAGTATAAGCTTACAAATATACTTAAAGTACCAAAACTAAACATGCTCAGGCAGATGGCCATTTTCGGGAAAATATATATTAGATCACTGGATTATAATTACAATGTGTTCATCATTTTTAATTGTAAAGCTAGCAAAGGTGGAGCTTACTTTAATGACTTTTCATACTGCAATGTATCTTGAATTCTTAATAGTACATCAAAATATATTTGTTGATTTATATTTGTTATTAATGA